AATTAGAAAAGACAAATTTAAGATTTAAGTAAAAAATATTTCTCACCCGAAATTTCTAATAACCACTACTGTCAAGGAAATGATAAAAAATACTTCTCCGATAAACCTAATATTTATTAGACTATTTAAAGTGTATAATAGCAAAATACCAATCTAAATGTCATTCGTACGAAACCTGTCATGTTTAATAAAAAGTCCTTTGGAAGGAAAAGAATTGAGCTATTTCGGAGAGAAGCCATTCATCTGCAAGCTAATCAAAAAATACCATTTAAATGCAGTTTCTTTTGTCAAGTTTATTTTTTTCTGTTACTTCACAAAATTAAGTTGAAAAAACGTTGCTACGATAAAATATGTCGGTATATTCTCTTTTTTAATCTTTCTTCCTTTGATTTATTTTACGGAATGATTTTTACCAGGTTGAGTAAAAGCGAAAAAAAATTGGTACTTATTTGTCAAAATCATCACTTTCTAGAAGCGAAATTTTAAAAAATATAAATTTCGCAAGCGTCATTCCAAAACGAACCTTAACAACCTAACTATTTTTCATTGTTTTTTCAATTCAAAGTAAAGATAAACAAAACTGTATTTTCAAATTTATACTAATCTATGAAATCTTTTCGAACGTTGATAACAAAAATAAATAAGGGGGTAATATCGTGCTAAAGTTCACGAAATTCTTATAACGTTTTATCTCTGCAAATTGAATAATTATTGCTTAACTTTTCTTCGGAAGTTTTCAATTTTTCTAAAAAATTAAATTGAAAATGAAAAAACCCAAACAATTGGGGAAACTCGAGAAGTACCGCAAAAGAGAATCAAAATATATAAAATAAATAGGATTTGATTTCCCCAGCGTGCCTCTTTATTATTTCCAATTGAAATTTAGAAGTTGGTTTTTTTGCGGAGCGTTGAAAGATGTGGAACCCAGAGAAAAAACCTCGAAGCACAGGAGAGAACCAATAAATCTGCTCACACACGACACCAATTATAATTTAAGTTTTTTTAGTAAAAAAAACTCTCGGCTTTTAAAGATTAAACACTTGGGGGAAAGAACTCTAACTCGTTATACAAGATTATATGCAATTTATGACCAATGTTGATAGTGTATAGTATTAGCCAATAATATTTTCGATAGAAATAACCATAACAGATACGAAAGCATATAATCTATATATTATATTAGCAAATATGCACCAATAACATTTGTCGATAGAAATAGTCAGCAACTTTTGTCGATCGAAATAGCCAATAACATTTGTCGATAGAAATAGCCGATAACATTTGTCGATAGAAATAGCCGATAACAGTTGTCGATAGAAATAGCCGATAACAGTTGTCGATAGAAATAGCCGATAACACTTGCCGATAGAAATAGCCAATAACATTTGCCGATAGAAATAGCCAATAGCATTTGTCGATAGAAATAGCCAATAGCATTTGTCGATAGAAATACGCCACAATCGAAGTCAAATAAATAAATAAATAAATAAATAAATAAATAAATAAATAAACCAGAATATACTTTACATATTTGATAGCAAATATTTACAAATAATATGTTACTTTCTATGATATCAGTTGAAAAAACAATGCGACATGAGAAAAGAGAAATTTCGTTCAATAGACCTCTAGCTTTGGCTTAATGTTTTTCCATTTCAGACCACGTGTCATTCTCTTCAGAATAAGATTCTTTGTTTGAGTTGTATCCATATTAATGTGTCTTCTCATGCGCAACCGTTAAACAAAGAAATGATACTCTAGGGAATGACACGTGGTCTGAAATAGGAAAACATTACGCCCAAGTCATAAGGAAGTGAATACTCCCTTTTAGAGTCCTTTCAGTGACCACGAATATATAAAAGTTCCTAGTCAGGACTGGAACAAACACTGTTTATTACAGTAATGATAAAAGGGTAAATTATACATCGTGAAAAGATTWAAAAAACTTACTGACGTTTCGGACGCTAGTCCTTCGTCGGAGCAAAAGATTAATACGGTTGGAGTTGCATTACCTGCATTACTCGTTATCACATATGAGTAGAGTTTGTTAAGGCCCTGGCTTATCGAGGAAACAAGTTTCCAGAAACATGTTTTCTGCGCGTATGTTCCAAAGTTTAGCCACATGCGAAACATTGCTACGTGCAAGAAATTTTGCTTCCAAGACGCAAAAATGTTTCTGCTGTGCGGCAGAAACATTTCATGCTTCCAAGACGCATGGAAACATTGTTTCTCAATGTTTCCTCGTTTAGCCACGAAAGTCAACATCCTAAAAGTTCGTTACTTAGCAACGCTAGCTCTATCTTGAAAGTGCGCATGCGCTAACCGATATTGTTTGCCGATGTTCCCTGACAGTTTTGCCACTTTTGGAAACATTCAAGGAAACATGTTTCTGGAAATATGTTTCCTCGTTTAGCAGGGCCTAAGACTCTCCCTTGATTCTAAGGTTTTTTTCTGGTTCAGTTCCTTCCTCCGTTTAACTTCTTTTTTATTTTTATATAAGCCTGTAAAAATAATCCGCCTTTGGCTATTCGTGATTTAACTTGTAATAATTACAAAGGGATAATAGATGAGAATGATTGAAAATTGTTAAATTTTAATCAGAAATCTTGCTAAATGAAGTCATTGCTATGAGCAAACGCGCACTCAACTCTTCATAGAAAGAATGCGCGCGAAAATGCTCGCTAAAGTAAAAAAAGAAGAGGAAAGAAAGGAGGAAAGGAAGATAGAAAGAAAGAAAGAAAGAAAGAAAGAAAGAAAGAAA